CCCCTGAATTAGTTTTTGTTCTCGAATATTTACGTTCATGCGCATCAAAATTTAGGATAGAATCTACTGAGATGGTTTAGTTATGTGCAATAAAGGGCATTAAATGCGCTGGCTACGAGAAGTAACAAGATTTTAACTAGGACTGTAGGTAAGCTGTGTCAAAACCTGGCTGAAAGCAACAATGTTCAACTCAACGGAGGAAATAATCCTTGACATAACTGGAAGGATAATATTCATGTAGCCAATTCCAAAAATTCGGAGTATTTGTCATTTACTGTTGGCTGATAATTTCTAATCCTTATTGTTCTATATTCATGAAAACAGGTGGAGAGATGGAACGAGCAGAGGGAGAACGGAAATTTCCCGGGACCCCTCTAAATCATCTTCCCCCTGGTGCCCTCATCAGTTAATGTTTCTGTCAATCTCCACAATAAATTATTCTGATCACCATCTGATACCATGGCGGAGGTTTTATCTTTTATATTTGTGATTATTGGATTGGCATTTCCTTTCTTTTACTTCGCCGCTGATTTCACTTTGTGAAGTATTTCGGAGGAAATTTTATGAAGTTAAACCCTTAATTTGCTTTGCCCATCTCCTTCTAATATATTAGCATTGTTTTCTAGTAGGAATTGTGGTTGTTTTGTTTTGTTAATATTTTCTTCCTTAGTATTTGTGAATTTTTTTTAGAAGATAAAGAACGTAGGGGGAAACCGTAGAAGCGAAATTAGGAGCGCTGTTTGTGAGTTAGGCAAGAGTTTTGCCGAAGGCAAACAAATTAGCCGACCTGATTAAATAGGAGCGTTGCGGCGTGCAATAAACTTTCCTACCTAACTTTTGTCTACGTACGCTCTCTATCAGTACCGTTTATTATTACGATAATAACGATGATGAAATACATCAGGTGGAGGGAGTCGATGACTTTAGGCAAGCGTAAGGGCCAGTTTGTTTGCCAATTTTGTGGGGCGTAATACTGTGGATGTCAGGTGCTACAGTATTACGCCCGATACTTCTGTTTGGTTCGCTCAAATAAGTGTGGTTACTGTAGCTGAGTTGTCGTTATTGTAGACACGTTGGTAGCGCCTTAGCTTTTCCCAGCAAAAAGAAGTGAAATGAGCTTAATTTACTGTAGCTGTCAGATATAGCTGGACCATTCACTTTTCTGTCACTTTAGCTACTGCGTGTTTTTACGTAAATCAACTAGACATGCCCTAACTGCGATTTGCGTTGGTCTTGATTGAATCAAGCTCGCTGAAAACTTGGCGGATTTTAATTGTGCCAGCCGAGGAATGATTCAAAATCACTGCGAATACTTTATTGCAGGTTGCATGTAGTAATCTGTGCTAAGGGGGTGTTTGGTCCAATTTCTATAAATTATAGGAAATGTGTTCCACCCAAAATATGATTTCCTTGTATTTCTTAAAAAAAAGTATAGGAAAAGTTTTGAGAAGTTAAAAAGTACCAATTTTCTTATTTTTTTTACTATGCTTGTTTGGTTCAAAATAAGAAAAGGTCCCATAACTTTATAGAAAATAGCAAGATTTTCTATAATTTGTAGAAATTAAACTAAACACCCCCTAAATTTATAGAAAAGTGTCAACTTTATAGAAAAATGTTAATGTGGTGTTAGATTTCTGGGTGATTTTCGTCTATTTTGAGAGGAAATTGATTTCTGTAAATTTTGGTATTTTTTTATAATTTAACAAACACCCCCTAATAATATTGAACATAGGGGATTGGCATTGCATGAAAAGAGTTGACTTTAGTCACGGTAACCTCCACTCCTTTGACCTGTCTCTCTCTCTCACCGCAGGTTCAGCCAACCGCCAACCTAAAACCGCTCCGACTCACTCTGTTCATGTGCAGGCTCCACCGGTCATGCTTAGGAGACGCCGTCAGGATTATTACGCTGTGCACCCAAAATCCCACCACCTACTGAACGTGGGACCCATCTTAAGTGGGTCTTCGGAAACGGGTGACGCGAGACTCATCAATGTTAAAATTTTGAGACCCTGTTCCGTCCCGTCCCGTTCCGTTTCTTCAAGGAAAACCGTCAGAAGCAAATGAGAGAGTTAGTTGGCGTCTCTACCCACAGAAAGTATCCGTTACAATTTTGATGACGTGGCAGCAAGCTCAATTAATGGTATGGGAAACGTGTTATTTTCATATGATTAGATTAAAAAAAAAGATTAGATACTCTAATATTATATTATATTTATTCTAATTATTAATTAATTAGATAAAAGATGTTTTTATTGTGAATTTAATCTTTACTATCTTAATTAGTAATTACACATTCAATATAACAATAAATTTTTTTTTCTTTTTTGGAACATCCCCCAATGATCCTTGGTATCAAACACTTGGGGCCTAGCTTTTCAGAAAATTAAATTTTACTACCCGTGTAGCTTTACCAATTCATGTATTCCAGAAAATTATTATTTTTCTTCTAAATTAGAATTCTTCTGTAGATGGAATTATATTTATATTTTTGTTGTCCCTTACTAAATTAAAAAACATGGAAAGAGTAAGAAAAATCATCATAAGATCTCAAAGTCATAACTTCCACAGTTTCACCCTCTTAAAACCCCCCCTTCTCTACGTTCTCGTCCTCCGCCGTAACATCCTAACCCACCTCTCACCGCCCCCCGAACAATGGTTCGCATCAGCAACGGTTTAATCGCCACCCTCAACATCATCACCCTCCTCCTCTCGATTCCGATCGTCGGCGGCGGAATCTGGCTCTCGTCCAAGGCCTCCGCCTCCGTCTGCGAGAAGTTCCTCTCCAACCCTCTCATCGCTTTTGGTGTCCTTCTCTTTTTGATATCCCTCGCTGGCCTCCTCGGTTCTTGCTGCAGGTTGTTAAAAAAAAAAAAATCTCACCTTTGATTTATTTCTTGGTTGTTTGGATGTAGTCTTTAACTGGGTTCTGTTTATTTTCCTCTCATTGTTGGAAAAACTCTGCTTTTGGGCTTTTTATGGGACGCGTGTTTTGATACGGGAACTGGTTTTTTTTAATCCCATTGTAAATCTTCAAGTTGGGTTTTGTCCTTGTAAGATTGAATTTTTTTTCCGTTAGTTTCCTGATGCAGGTTGTCTTAAAATTTATAATTTTGATATCTTTGTAGTATTTCCGTAATTTTAGTTGGGTTTTATTTGTTTTCCTTACGTTACTGCATGTATAAGTCTTTCCTTTTACATTTTTTTAAAGTAAAAATTTGGTATATTTTGATACATGGCTTGCTGTTTATTGTGGGTTATCTTTTTGTTTGAATGTAATTTCGATTTGAGTATTGGGTTTTTATTTATTTATTTAAAGTGTGAGTCTTTTTTTAACCCTTTATGATAAAGGCTCTGCTTTCGTATGATTTTTGTGAAACTTTGGTAGCTTTTGAGACCCGGGTCTCATGTTGATTCGGGTAGTAGTGGGTTTTGACTGTAGTTTTCAATCTGGTAAATTTTTTTTTTAAATGTTTTACCCGAAGTGCGTTTTGGTAGTTTTTGAGACATGGGTTTATTATGTTCATAATTTGAATCGTGAACTCCGTTCTCTTTTATCTGACTGTAATTTTCAATTTGAGAAATTGCTTTTCCTCTCCCTTCAAACTTCAATTGTCTTCACTTAATTTCCCCTACATTACTTGAAAAATCTTTGCTTTTGTAATAATATTAGTGAAGTTTAATAACATCGGTGTTCTCGATCCCCCCCGCTGCTGCAGGATCACATGGCTCCTCTGGCTCTACCTCTTTGCAATGTTCATCTTGATCGTGCTCATTCTTTGCTTCACAGTCTTTGCTTTTGCCGTGACTAATAAGGGCGTAGGCCAAGTTGTTTCAGGGAGAGGATATAAGGAGTATAAGCTTGGTGATTATTCTCATTGGTTACAAAAGAGGATGAATAATCCTAAGAATTGGGACAAGATTCGCAGTTGTTTAGTGGATAGCAAGGTTTGTAGAAATCTTCAGGAGAAGAGGCAGACACTCAGTGAGTTTATCAACGGCAGTCTCTCTCCAATTCAGGTATTGGAACTATTATTATTATTATTGTTGTTGTTGTTGTTTGTTTTGTTAGTTTGTTTTGTAGACTGTTGATGGAACTGGTATTTTAATCCTAATATCTAGATGGTTTCAAATAATTTTGTAGTTTGTATCGGTTCCCCTTTACATCCAAACAGCCCCATAATCATCTTTCATACTTATTTATACAATCAATTAATAGGTTTTTGGCTTGATATTTTTAGATTGTATGAAGCCCTCTATCAACAATTCAGCCTTATTATTTATATTAATTTAGGTTATCTTCTATGTCGCTTGTTGGACTCCAATTTTAGCGAAGACGCTCATAATTTATTTCTACATCAATTTATTCCGGTTACATCTCTTTGTTACAAAAAGATCGACATAATCGTTCATTTAAGTTTCTTTATTTTATATCTTCTGACTCAATCAGAACTACTTGTGATGGCTATTACGTCATCCGTACTCCTAGTCTACATTTGTTGAACAAAATATCACAAAGTCTTCGTAATGTATCTTTCTTGATATCTAAGGTTTTCTCTTAACACGGACATGCTATATCTATAATGAACTTTAGAACTTGTGATGGCTATTACCTCTATTTAGTAAGAAATATGTTCTATTTGTTTTTTGTATAACCTTTTTATGCAATATGTGACCTGATCCAATCTAATCGAAGATATTCAGATGCTGAGTCTTATGGTAAACTCGGTTGGTTTAAATTGCCTTTGAATTTAAGCTTAAGTAGATGTTGACTTTGACTTTTTTTGAGTAGCTAAGTAGATGTTGACTTAAATTTTTTAGCCTGCCTGTTTCACTTCTTCTGAGGAATTTTCTTATATTGATATTGAAAATCAAACGTACTTAAAACTACTTGAGTTGACCCCAAGACTTGTCATCTCAATAAATCTTTTGATTAGATTGGATAAGGTCAACGTATTGTGTAAATAGATGTTGACAATTATCTACTTGCTAATTTTTTTTAAGCTTGATTATAGCTGTAATTCTGATACAATTTCTTTGGCATTCCTTTATAATAATAAATAATAATAAATAAACTAAGAACAATTTAGCCTGTTTTACTTCTGTAGATTTTTTTTTAATCTTGAGGATGTTGATTTAAGCTCTGGATGATGTTCTAATTCTGATATACATCTTCCTGGATATTTGTCAAATTTAATTGAACTGCAACATAATGTGTGCGCACAAATCTTAAATACACGCAATATCCCAAAGAATTATTGCAGAAATTTTTGTGATTAATTATCCTTCTAGTTAATCCAAATAACTTTATTTAAGATGGGATTCAAATCTCATGTAGTAGTCTCGAGAGTTATGATTTAAATATTTATTGGTTGCCGAACCAAATCCTTAGGAGTCTCTCCTTTCATGTGCTTAGGGCCCTTCTTTCTCGTAAGCTGTTTATTAGCTTAGTTGAAGTAATTTAATTACTACTAAGCTTCTGATTCAAACTTTTCATTATGATATTAACCCTTTGCTAATCCAATTAAGAAGTCACATGACATATTTATTTATATGCATAGTTGCTTTATTCTAATCAATAGTCACCAAATCCATAGGATGGCTTGAGTTTCCATTAGCTTCTCTGAATAGGAGAGCACATGACAATTAGATTTATCTCTGTCCTTCTCTATATAAGTAGTTGTGTTGTTATCCTAGATTTTTCCAAGGAAAATTGGTCAATGAACAGAATTAAACTTTGTATCTGCCTACTTGGCATCTAAGCTTATGTAAGTTCTCCTTTGATTATATAGTTGCTCTGACCACGAAGGAACAAGTTCATAAGTTTTGATGTTGGTTTTCAAGTTCCCCTCTCTGACTTGGCACCCCAGACCCCATTTTCATGCAGGGATAAAATTATAGATAACCCGAATCATCTATGCATTTAGTGTCTCTTATCCTCTCAGTCAGCTTGTTTATTACTTGTCAACTTCTAGTTTGGCATTTTGAGAGGGATATAACTGCAGATGACCCCCTCTACCCGCTAGTTGAGGGATCGTAAATGCTAATGTCTTGAGGTGAGAGGTGACAAGTGCTTTCGTGAAAGATAACTCGTAGATACGCCCTCTTATCTCTATTCCTTCGATATATAACTTATCATTTTTCCGACTGTTAGCACTTATCACTCATGGATTGGCATTTATGAAGCATAATTCTCAATCCCTCAAGTCATCATCTGTCAACTTGTTTATGAAAAATTGGATTGGCTGATAGTTCTCACTAGTAAATATGAATCATTGAGATTTATGGATATCGTCTCACTTCTTAGCTTAACTTCTTTAAACTAAACCCTTCTCCTTCCTCTCTATTTTTTGCTTTTCAGTCTGGATGTTGCAAGCCCCCATCGGCATGCAACTTCACGTACAGAAGCGACACAATATGGGACAAACCCACAGGCTTCAGCAGCAACTCAAGCATCGACGACTGCGGCACCTGGCAGAGTGACCAGACCAAGCTCTGCTACGGCCAGTCTTGCAAGGCCGGAGTACTCGCCAACATCAAGAATGACTGGAAGAAGGTGGCCATCATTAACATCGTTGTCCTCGCCTTCCTCATTGTTGTGTACTCTGTTGGATGTTGTGCTTTCAGGAACAACAGGAAGGATAATTACTACAGATGGAAAGGATATCCTTAGGTGGCGCATAAATCTTTACGTCTTTTGTACAGAGTCATGGATAGATGATGATGCTTTTATTCTTCCTTTTTAAAAATTTTCATTTTAAAAACAATCTGAACCTTGTTGATTTGGGTTTGTTATTTTTAATGTGATTTACTTATATATATACCTTATTAGGAAATCCCTCGAAAGAAGTTTTCTGAGATACTGAGTAGTTAAGTTTGTATTGCAGACAAAGGATCCTTAAGAAGAGAGCAGCAAGAGCTTAGATCTTCCTCTGTATATATAGAGTCATGGATGATTATGCTTTTATTTTTATTTTTAATTTTTCATTGTTCCGTGTTGAGGAGTTCAATCTTAACTTCAATCTGAAATTATGTACAATGGGTTCTATTACCCCTTGCTAGCTTACTGTACATTACATTTGCACAAATATATGTTTTGTCCTTGCAAGAGAGGAACTTATGGCATATCTGGATCATTCATATAAAGTTTGCTAATAATACCTTACAGTTTCCTCTACCTTACCTTCATATAGGGCTGTCAATCCGGGCCGGGCCGTGCCGGCCCGGCCTGGCTAGGAAAACCGGGCCCAGGCCGGGTAAAACCGAAGCCCGGGCCTGAGTGGGCCAGGCTCCGGGCCGGCTAGATTTTTCTTGTTTTTTATTATTTTTTTAATTTTTTTAATTTTTTAATTTTTTTTAAAATCCTCATAAATCATAAAATATACATAAAAATTATAGAAAATGACATAAATTTTTTAACTAACTTGAAATGACATAACTTACAAGTACAAAAAATTATAAAAATAAAAAATGATAAAAATAACTTTTTTTATTAATAATCAGTAAATTCTTTACAAGTATAAATTTATTTCAGAATTTGTCGCATCACAATAGATGAGTACATCCCAACTAGGTTGGCACCTACTCACCTATATCACTATCATTTATAATTTTTTTTGAAATAATTCATTATAAATTTAAAGCTAAGAAATAAAAATAAAAATTTAATGAATATTATCTAATCTTTATACCTATCTGCTAGTCCCAACTTTTCAAATTTATCTTCAACTCCAACCATCCGATCGATGCCTTGTGTTCGCTTTTCGTACATTCACCAATCTTGTAAGCACATCACCACTTGTACAGTATACGGATCTAAGCATGTCCTGTGGTCGTCGATCAAACGTCCTGCTGTGCTGAAGGCGGATTCCGAAGCTACCGTCGAAACCTGCACTGTTAATAAGTCACGAACCATAGTGGAAAGTATAGGATATGACACTGATTTATATACTCTCCACCATTGTAAAATATCTAAAGCATTTCCTTGACATTTAACTAAGGAAGCAGATAAATATTCATATATTTCAGAAATTTCTAATGCTGATCCAAGTCCAGATCCATCAGTTAGTTCAGCTACCATTGCATACTTATCAAAACTTACACTTTTACCTCAGCATGTGCTCGAAGGCGCCGAAGCTGTAGACTGTTGTGCAGCTACACCATGTCTACATGCATACTCATCATATAATGTTTACAAATTAATTCCTAATAGCTAAATGATGAGAAGTAGCAGTAAGGGTGAATCCATCATCTAAGTCTATAATCTGTCCACCATATAATAATTGTAACAAACTTCGAAGGCCAATATCCTTCAAACATGGATCAATAAGAATCCCCAAACAAAAAATATGAGGAATATACCTAAAATACTTATTAAATTTGCTTTCCATTTAAAAAATTATAGATCCAAAAGTATCATCCATACGATATTTTGAAAAAAACTTTTGAATATTTAAAATTTGTAAAACAGCTTAAGTAATTGTTGGATAATAACAGCCAGATAATAACATTGTAGCATCATAAAAGACTTGTAATATCTCATTTAAATTACATATAATTATCCATTCATCTCCAGTTATTCCATAACTACTAGCAGAAATAGAACTAGAAGCATAAAAATTTATAAAATTATTTATAATTTCTTTATATTCTATTGCTACACTTAACATTACATAGGTGGAATTTCACCTATGGTCAACATCTTTTGGAATTAGTCTGGGCTTATAATTTTTTCTTTTACAACATTGTTTCCATCTTTTAATTCTCATTTCAGAAGCATTATGCATATTAGCAACAGTTCTAACCTTTTCTATCATGGGTTTAATTTTAGAAAATGCACTTTGAACAATTAAATTTAAAATATGACTCATGGGTTTAATTTTAGAAAATGCACTTTGAACAATTAAATTTAAAATATGACAGATACATCTAATATAAAAAAGTTCACCATGACATGGCAATGACAAAGTTATTTTGATAAAATCAACAGCTACATTATTATTACTTGCATTATCTAGGAAAATAGAAAATATTTTTTGATCAATTTCTAGTTTCATAAGTTCTTTAATTATTAAATTTGCAACATTAATACCAGTATGTGACTCTTCAATTATAATAAAAGAAACAACTCTTTTAAATATTTGCCAATTTTTATCAATCCAGTGTGCTGTGATACATAAATAACCAGTTTGCATTCTAGATGTCCAAATATCAGAAGTTAAAGAAAATTTACAGTTTAAATTTTTAAAATAAGAAATTATTTTTCCTTGTTCCTCCTGATAATATTTTAGAATATAACGTTGACATGTTTGACGAGAAAATTTGGTAAATGCAGGATAAAAATCATCTCTAAACAAATCTTCAAATTCATCATCTTCTACTAATCTAAAAGGAAGGTTTTTAAGAACGATAAACCTGATTACGCATTTCCTGGCTCGGGCAGCGTCATAACTCCAACTACCAAGACTACCAGAGGAGGAGGATTAAGAAAACATAGATTGTCGGATATCACCTTGAAGATTCTGGCCTTTGTTGTGTTTTTAATATGACGTTTGAGGTGGTTGGTACCGCTCTTATGATGAGCTTTGAAAATCTGGCCGCACAACACACATTTAGCCTTCTGGGTGATGATCCTACCGTGTTCATCCTTAATGACGTCTATCTTATCAAAAAAATTCCACACATCGGATCCCGGTCTTTTAGGAGCACTTGGTGCAGATTCGTCGCCACCAGATTCAGAATTAACACCGGTAGGAGGAGTAGTTGTTGTAGGAGGACTCATTTCTGAATCAGTAGGAGATAGATTTTGCATTAACACCGGTAGGAGGAGTAGTTGTTGTAGGAGGACTCATTTCTGAATCAGTAGGAGATAGATTTTGCTCTTCATATTCAGATCCAGAAGCCATTTGATGGAAGTATTAGAAAATATAAGAGATTATAAGAGAGTATAATAATGTATAAGAGAGTATTAGAGAGAAGTAGAATAGTTTTGGTGTGAGGAGAAAAAGTAAAAACTCTTCTTTATTTATAGAGGCAGCCCCCTAAGCAAATGACCAAAAAACCCTCACATTTTGATCGTTGTTGGGGACAAAACGGTCAAAACACCAATATGACCGTTATGACCGGCCCGGCCAAAACAGCCCAACGATCACCTTAGGTGACCGTTGGGGCCGGCCCGGCCCGGCCGTTTACCACAAACGGTCACCTTCTGGTGACTGTTTCATCCGGGCCGGTCTCGGCCCGGCCCGGATCTCGTGCCCGCCCCGGCACTGTTCCGGGACGGACCCGGGTCTGGACCGGTTTCTGAAAAACCGACCCGGGTCCGGGCCCTGACCCGGGCCTAGCCCGAGCATCCGGGCAAAACCCGGGCCGGGCCGGGTTCCGGCTCTGGCACCGGGCCGGGCCCGGACCGTGGGCTTTTTGGACATTCCTGCCTTCATATATACCCACTCTTCTTTTTGATAGTATTTACATACCCTGAAGATCTTAAAAGTTGCATTCTGATATCTTATGTTATGTAAACGTGACTTATTTTCTTCAAATATTACCATGTAAATCTACTTAGAACTTTTTACCGCTTAACATTTGTTGAATTTACTCCTGAATATATCATTATTCTATTTTAATCATACCTAATGAATTATATTTTAATACTAATATTTGCTTGCGAGTGTCATATGAATTTAGGGTAAATTTTCGTGTATATGTAGAACATAAAGTACTAATACAAGCTTTTAGAAACTTCTGAGGAAAAACAATTTGAGGCTTATGTAAGTGCAAAGTAGGGCTATTTTAGCCTGTTGAAGGATTTTTGGCTTAGGTAGCATGTACTCTGTGATTGTGAGGTATTTTTTTGGTCAATAATGGGTGGATATGTTAGATTATGGATATGAAAAAAAAAAAAACATTAGGTTGATATTGCTATCGCTGGAGAAGTTGTTTCCCTAAAAATTTAATTTACCAGAACACATCTGTTCATTAAACAAAGATAGATAACTTGCTTGAGAGTTATTGGAACAGTGCAATATACAAATTTAGCTCACCTGATGTAGAATTTGCCTATTATGTGCCACATACACACTGCAGGGAACTGTAAAACTATGGTCACTATTATTTGCATATATACCCATTAAATAATGGGTATTTGCAAAGTTACCGCTCAAATATTAATATTTACAAACTATTCCCAAATCGTCAACATTGGGGAGAACACCCCTAAAATCAACAAATTATCAACTTGATAAGTAAGTTTTTGACTATTTTATCGATAACTTTTACATTGCAGTTACAAATTATCTTATCAAACTTGATGATTGATTGACTTGGGGGTACTTAAGACAAAAAGAAGATGATTTGAGGGGTAGTTTTGCAAATACTAGATTTGAGGGATAGTTGTGCAAATACCCATGATGTAAGGGGTATACATGCAAATAACTATTTTTTAATTCTTTTGTAGAGTTATCCTGCAAATTTCTTAGTGACTACACTCCTGAAATCTATTTGTAGAACTCAAACAGTATAATTTCTATTTCTGAAAAAATACAAGGGGAAAAAAATAGGAAAAATGTGTCCAGGCCATAAAAGCAGAAACTTTATGTGACAAGGTCCCTCATAATTTTCCCCATGTGGATCAGCCCCTTGAAGTGTGACACTTTGTACTGCAGCCCCTTTTTATCAATTATCACATGCCAGCTAAGCTAAAATTCCCAAACTATCCTTATCCTCTCTCCTCAATTTCTCTGACCCAGCACTCACATCATCTCTCTCTCTCATCTCCTCTCTCTCTCTCTCTCTCTCTCTCTCTCTCTCTCTCTCTCATCTCCTCTCTCTCTTATCCTCTCTCCTCAATCTCTCATTTCTCACATGACTGTGGATTTATCCTTATGAGCTTCTGTATTTGCAAATTGTGATCGATTCTGTTGTGGATGTTTTTTTAGTTACCAGGTCGAGACGCACAGAGCATTAATCTATTAGCTAAAAGAAGAAAAGAAAAA